GGGGCCAGAGAAAGATAACAAGTGACATACAAAGGAAAGCCCATAGAGCTATCAGCAGACTTCTCAGCCAAAACCCTGTAGGCTAGAAGAGAATGGCATGACATATTTAAAGTGCTGAAAAGAAAAAATCCTACAGCCAAGAATACCCTATCCATCAAGGTTATCATTCAGAATGGAAGGGGAGCTAAAGAGCTTCCTAGACAATCAAAAATTAAAGGAATTTATCACCAAGAAACAAGTTCTACAAGAAATGCTGAAGTGACTTATTTAAGTGGGAAAGAGAAGACCACAAATAGAGATAAGAAAATTATCAAACAAAACAAAACAAAACAAAAACCCAGGCAATAAAATCACTGGTAAAGGCAAAAATATAGTAAAGGTAGCAGATCAACCACCTATGAAGAAAATATGAAGGTTAAAAGACAAAGGTACTAAAATTACCTACTTCAATGATAATAAGGTAATGGATAGACACACACAAAGCAAGAGATTAGATATGATTTCAAAAACATAAAATGTGGGAGGAAGGGAGTGAAAGAGTAGAGCTTTAGAAAGAGGTCAAGCTAAAGAGACTACAACTCAATATAGATTGCTATATATGTAGAATATTATATAGGAACCTCATGGTAATCACAAATCAGAAACCTATAATAAATAAGCAAATAAGTAATAGGAAAGAAATCAAACATACTGCTAAAGAAAACCGTTAAACCATGAGAGGAGAGAATAAGAGAGGAAGAAAGGAACAGAGAAGAAATACTAAAACACTCAGAAAAAAAGTAACAAAATGACAACAAATATATATTTATCAATAGCTACTTTAAATGTCAATGGACTAAATGTTCCATTCAAAAGGCATAAGGTGGCAGATTTGATAAAAAACAAGACCCATATATATGCTGCATACAAGAGACACACCTTAGACTTAAAGACACTCACAAACTGAAAATTAAAGGATGGAAAAAGATACTCCATGCAAATGGGAAAGAAAAGAAAGCTGGGGTGGCAACAGTTATATCTGAAAAAATAGACTTTAAAACAAAACCTGTAACAAGAGCCAAAGAAGGGCACTACATAATGATAAAGGGAACAATCCAACAAGAGGATATAACACTTGTAAATTTCTATGCACCAACACAGGAGCACCTAAATGTATAAAGCAATTATTAACAGACATAAATAAGAAATAGACAGTAACACAATAACAGTAGGGCACTTTAACACTCCACTTACACCAATGGGTAAATCAGCCAAACAGAAGATCAATATGGAAACATTGACCTTAAATGACACCATAGATGAGATGGACTTAGTAGATATATAGAGAGCATTCCATCCAAAAACCACAAAAGACACATTCTTTTCAAATGCACATGGAACATTCTCCAGGATTGACCACATATTAGGCCACAAAGCAAGTCTCAATAAATTTAAGAAGAGCAAAATAGTACCAAGTATCTTTTCTGACCACAAAGGTTTGAAACTAGAAATCAACTATAGGAAGAAAATCAGAAAACCCACAAAAATGTGGAGATTAAACTGATACTGAACAATGTTTGGGTCAATGAAGAAATCAACAAATAGCTGGAAACAAATGAAAATGGAAATACAACATGCCAAATTCTATGGGATACAGCAAAAGTGGTTCTAAGAGGGAAGTTTATAGCAATTCAGGCCTATCACAACAAAAAAGAAAATTCCAAAATAGACAATCTAACAGTGCACCTAAAGGAACTGGAAAAAGAAGAACAAATGAAGCCCCAAATTAGCAGAATGGAGGAAATAATAAAAATCAGAGCAGAAATAAATGAAATAGAGACTACAAAATCAAGAGAAAAAATTAAGGAAACCAAGAGCTGGTTCTTTGAAAAGACAAACAAAATTGACAAACCTTTAGCTAGACTCACCAAGAAAAAAAGAGAGAAGGCTCGAACAAATAAAATCAGAAATGAAAGAGGAGAAATTACAACAGACACCTCAGAAATTCAAAAGATTCTAAGAGAATACCAGGAAAAGCTATATGCTAACAGATTGGATAATTTAGAAGAAATGGATAAATACTTAGAAAATCATACAAACTTCCAAAACTGGACCAAGAAGAAGTAGAGAATTTGAATAAAGCAATCACCAGTAAGGAGATTGAAACAGTAGTCAAAAACTTCCCCCTAAAATAAAAGTCCAGGAACAGATGGCTTCCCTGGTGAATTCTACCAAACATTCAAAGAAGACGTAATATCTATCCTTCTTAAACTCTTCCAAAAATTGAAGAGGAAGGGAGGCTTCCAAATCTATTCTACAAAGCCAAGATTATCATGATACCAAAACCAGACAAGGACAACACAAAAAAAGACAATTACAGACCAATATCACTGATGAACACTGATGCAAAAATCCTCAACAAAATACTAGCAAATCGAATACAACAATACATTAAAAAGATCATACGTCATGATCAAGTGGGTTTTATTCCAGGGATGCAGGGATGGTTACATCTGCAAATCAATCAATGTAACATATCACATTAATAAAATGAACAAAATGAAGAATAAATATCACATGACCATCTCAATAGATGCAGAGAAAGCATTTGACAAGATACAGCATCCATTTATGATAAAAACTCTAAATAAAATGGGTATACAAGGAAAATACCTCAACACAATAAAGGCCATATATGACAAACCCACAGCTAATATCATGCTCAATGGAGAAAAACTGAAAGTTATCCCTCTAAGAACAGGAAGCAGAGAAAGCTGCCCACTTTCACTACTCTTACCTAACATAGTATTGGAAGTCCTAACCAGAGCAATCAGGCAAGAAAAAGAAATAAAAGAAGTCCAAATTGGAGTGAAACTGTCACTCTTTGCAGACAACGTGATTTTATATATAGAAAACCCTAAAGAATCCACTAAAAAACTTTTAGAAACAATAAATAAAGACATTCAAGTCACAAGATACAAAATCAACATACAAAAATCCGTTGCATTTCTATACACTAACAACGAAGTAGCAGAAAGAGAAATTAAGAATACAATCCCATTTACAATCGCACCAAAAAGAATAAAATACCTAGGAACAAATTTAACCAAAGAGGCGCAAGATCTGTACATTGCAAACTATAAAACATTGTTGAAAGAAATTGGAGAAGACACAAAGAAATGGAAAGACATTCCCTGCTCTTGGATTGGAAGAATTAACATAGTTAAAATGTCCATACTTCCTAAATCAATCTATAGATTCAATGCAATCCCTCTCAAAGTTCCAGCAACATTGTTCACAGAAATAGAACAAAGAATCTTAAAATTTATATGGAACGACAAAAGACCCTGAATAGCCAAAGGAATCCTGAGGAAAAAGAAAAAAGCTGGAAGTATCACACTCTCTGATTTCAAAACACACTACAAAGCTATAGTAACCAAAACAGCATGGTACTGCCCCCAAAACAGACACACAGATCAATGGAACAGAATTGAGAGCCCAGAAACAAACCAACACATCTATGCACAGCTAATTTTTGACAAGGGAGCCAAGAGCATACAATGGAGAAAGGAGTCTCTTCAATAAATGGTGTTGGGAAAACTGGACAGCCACATGGAAAAGAATGAAAGTAGACCATTCCCTTACACCATGCACAAAAATTAACTCAAAATGGATTAAAGACTTAAATGTAAGATGTAAAACCATGAAACTCTAGAAGAAAACATAGGCAGTATGTTCTTTGACATCAGTCTTAGCAGCATTTTGTCAAGTACCATGTCTGACTGGGCAAGGGAAACAAAAGAAAAAGTAAACTGCATCAAACTAAAAAGCTTCTGCACAGCAAAGGAAACCATCAACAAAACGAGAAGACAACCTAACAATTGGGAGAAGATATTTGCAAACCATATATCAGATAAGGGGTTAATATCCAAAATATACAAAGAGCTCATACAGCTCAACAACAAAAAGACCAACAACCCAATTAAAAAATGGGCAAAAGATCTGAACAGAGATTTCTCCAAAGAAGATATATAGGTGGCCAACAGGCACAAGAAAAGATGTTCAACATCATTAACTATCGGGGAAATGCAAATCAAAACTACAATGAGATATCACCTAACTCGGGTCAGAATGGCTACAATTAACAAGACAGGAAACAAATGTTGGAGAGGATGTGGAGAGAAGGGAACCCTTGTACACTGCTGGTAGGAGGGCAAACTGGTGCAGCCACTACGGAAAGCACTATGGAGTTTCCTCAGAAAATTAAGAATAGATCTACCATATGATCCAGCTATTCCACTGCTGGGTATTTATCCAAAGAATTTGAAAACACAAATGCATAAAGATACATGCACCGTTATGTTCATCGCAGCCTTAGTCACAATAGCCATGACTTGGAAGCAACCTAGGTACCCATCAAGGAACAAATGGATAAAGAAGATGTGGTCTATATACACAATGGAATACTACTCAGCCATAAGAAAAGATGTAATCTGGCCATTTGTGACAACATGGATGTTCCTTGAGGGTATTATGCTGAGTGAAATAAGTCAGAGGGAGAAAGTCAAATACCATACAATCTCACTCATAAGCAGAAGACAAAAACAAACACATAGCAACAGATATTGGTTCGGTGGTTACCAGAGGGGAATGGGGGAGGAAGGAGGGCAAAATGGGTGATTAGGCACACGTGTGGTGATGGATTATAACTAGTCTTTGGATGGTAATCTACACAGAATTCAAAATATATTACAATGTACAGGAAAAAAAATAAAGTGTAATATCTATGGAAAAAAATAAATTGCTGCATCAATAAGTGAAAGAAAGAGTAAATGGATAAATGAATTAACTGAATGAACGATGGAAACACCATTATTTAATCAAAATAGACTTTTACTTTTAAATTAAAGAAATTTAAAAAGTACACATACAGTGTTGGGATCATGAGCTTGTAATCATAACCCCAACACTGCATGCATTCACCCCTGGCGGGGCGCGTGCCACAGCGGGCCACCTTTGTGGGACAGCCAGATCTGGTGTGGGCTAGGAGCCTCTGGCGCTCTGAGGCGCCCTTGGCCGACAGGCTTGCCGGGACCGTGCTCCCGCCCACTGGATCAAGATGGAGGAGGAACACAAAAAAGGGCGACCGCTGGCGTTTCAGATCCAGGGAGATTTCTAGCAGTCCTTCACCCTTTTGGCAGATGCTTTACGGTCAGTAAATGGATTTCTTTCCCTCTAGTCTAAACGTCCGTTAAACCGCTGTTTCCTTGCTGTGGCCCAGGTCGGGGAGTCTGCCCGTGGGCCCCTCAGTGATATCCCTCCTTGTGGCAGGTCTCTGCCTTGGGGGTGGAGTTCCCGTCAATACCTTGTCCCTGTCTCTCCTACTCCTTTCTAAGTGGTCCCTCTATTATTTGTTGTGTAGAAGCTGTTCAATAAACCCTCAGTTCTTCTTCAGGAGGAATTGCTCTCTACCTAAGTATAGATTTGGTGTGTCCGTGCAGGGAGGTGAGCTCCGGGTCTTCCTACGCTGCCATCTTGGACCCCTCCTTCTAGTGTTCGTTTAGTTTCCTTCAGTTTGGTATCGTTTCTCAGAATTTCTTTGGCTTTCGTGACTGACACTTTTGAAGACGACACATCAGTTTTCTGTTTGTTCTTTTCTAGAACGTCCTTCAACTTTTGTTTTTCTGATATTTCCTCATGATTAGATTCAGGTTAAGTATCTTTGCCAGGAATATCACATAAGTAATGCTTTGCTCTTATTTCAACCTACCAGATGGTGCATAATTTTGATTTGTTCTACTGCTGAAAAAAGTACTTGATCATTGATTAGGGGAGTGTTTGTTTGGCTTCCCCATTGTAGAGGGTTTCTTTCCTTCTTTAAAAATAATGTGAATTTTGTGGGGAAGTACCTTGAAATTTGAAATTATGGAAATATATTTTCCCTCTTCTAGCGTTAAATTTACATATTTTTGTTTATTTCTATCTGGGTAGATTTATGGCTTCTTATTAGGAGATTTACAATGTAGTGCTTTAATTTTTTCCCTTTCTTTTCCTTTTTTTTTTTTTTAATGATACTCATGTGGTTGCTGACCCAACCAGTGGAAGCCCCTTGAAATTGGCTTCTGTGTGCTTTTGGCATTTCTTTGTTCTTCTTTAAGCACTTCTTTGCTTTCTGGCGCAGTAGTGGATTCCAAGTTTATTTTGTGCTTTCCCTGATCCAGCAGTAAAATTACCCATATGCCCCATTTGGGCTATGAATCTCTACACCTGACTGCCCTCATTCATGGACTTTTTCCTTACCCTTCTTGGACTCTGACACCCGGTGCTGGGTTGACCCTGGAATGGAGATTATCTTTACTATACTTGGGCTCTGACTCCACACACAGGACTGCTCCTTGTGTGGACTCCTTTCTCGCCCTACTTAGGCTCCAAAACTGTGTAGCAGGATGCTCTCAAGTGTGGACTTTGTCTTTGGCCTGCTGAAGATCTGATTCCCTGCACTGGACTGCCCCAGTGCGTGGATACCCTCCTCTGCCTCTAGCTCTGACTTCCCATGTCAAACTGCTCAGCCCCACTCTTGCTCCTATGTAGATGTCTTCACCCTGCTTGGGCTTCCACACCAGACTCTGGGCCACCATGGCTTTCCTACCCCTTGTGCAAATATGCCTTACTCTGCTTTACTTGGCAGTTTTACAAGTGAATTATTCAGGAAGGGAAAGGAAGAGGAAGAAAAGGGAGAGTCAGAGTCTTTGCACAGTTGTAAACATCTAATTTCTTTGCTTGGTTAAGATACAACAGACAATATAAAGGAAAATGTGAGAGAATCTTAAATATTTTCACTGACGATGACGAAGTAGCATCAGAAATATAAGCTCAGACATATCAAGATACATGTATTCCATATTTGTGTTCTCAGTACCTAGCATATGTCTGGCACATGGCAAATCTTTATGTTTAATGAATTAAAACATTCAGAATAGGATGAGTTTATGGTTTAAGTTTTAAACTTCACTTCTAAATTTTGCATGAGTTTAAGCAACTAACAACTTTCCCCTTCACTTTTATTCTAAAAACATATGCTAAATAAAACAGTGTAATTTGACTTCTAAAGCGCTTTGAATCTTGTTTATTTCTTCTTGTTGTGCCTCATTAGCTTTTCTCTCTCTGCTGGATCATTCCCACAGATATGCAAATAGACTGTGGTGTCAGCCTTGCCTTTGCCCCACATCTCCATGTGCAATCACCCCTTTTCATCCCTCTGTCACTAACCTATTCTAAATCCTTGTCATCCCTCACCTGAAGACTGTCTTTCCTTGGGATGAAGGAGACAAACTGATTCTTTACTGGTCTTTCTGCTTCCGCTCATTCTCCTTCCAGTCTTTTCTCCAATCACAGTGTGAGTTTTATTTTCATTTACCTCTCCAGACTTATTCATGCTATCTGCTGATGCTCACCACTTCATACAACTGACCTCATAATAATTCCTTAAACATGCTGAAGTGCTTCCGTTTGATGCCTTTTCACTGGCTTTCTTCAGCTGTGGGATGCTTTGCCCTCTGCTCTTCAGAATTTTCCCTTTTCTTCCACTATTAGCTCCAAGCTTTAATATTACTCCTTTATAGAGACTACTCTGTCTACGCAAAGTTGTCACATTTACTTCTTTCACTTTTCATAGTCTGTAATTATTTTATTTCTTTTTTATCACCTCTAAGTCTCATAGGAAATAGACTCCATCATGGTGAAGACCATGTCTATCTTGTTCTCCACTGTATTCTAAGTAGACAGGTTAGGGGCTCAGTAAACATCTGCTGAATATATGAGTAATAATACTGACATAGTTACGCAAATAAAATGAGGACGAATGAGACAGTTTTAAAAATATTTGTGCTGCATAGAAATAAATGTTTTATATATTTTTGTTAGCCTTTCCAAATATACTTTTAATTCAGATAAAAATATGTGTAGTTTCCAAAAAAAAAGAGGCATTATTGTACAACATTTGTATTGACACTAATTTGGGAAATATTGGATTTTAACTTAAGAGAAGACTATACAAATCAGATGTTTCCATTTACCTTAAAATGTGTCTGCAGATACAAAATGGTTGACTTTCTTAGCTTAGTTCAAGGTTTTTCAAGATGTCCATTAACTTACAAATACTAGAAGCCAAGCCTAAAACTTAGGAAAGCCGCTAAAATGTCAACACATCAATTCTCACTCTGTGCCAACTGAATAGATGCAAAAGATTTTCAATATTCACCTCGTATGTATTTGGGTGAAATGTAAGAAGGAAACACGCTGAATGTATACTATCATGATCAATTATTATGTCTCGCCCTTTGAAGTGCTTGTGGTCCATAGCAATTGATGAGGCCCCAAATGATGTCAAAAACTAATTTATTCTGAAGCAGGAATTTGCAAACTATGGCCTATGGCTTGTTTCTGTTCAACCCTCAAGGTAAGAATTGTTTTCACACTTTTAAGGCATTACAAGAAATGAAAAAAGAAAAATATGATGCAGAGACTATATGTGATCTGCAAATCCTAAAATATTTACTCTTTGGCTCTTTACAGAAAGAAAAATTGCCAACCTTTGCTCTAAAGCATAATTGAGGAAAAATAAAGGAAAAATGGAACAGGTGAACCTAAGGTATATAAGAGAGCACAGTTAGGAATGGTATATTTACAGTTGAATGTTTAGATTTTTTGGCTCCTTTAGATTGTGAAATTTTGGTCATTTTTGTCTTCCGAGTGGCCTCTGCAGTTAAGATAGCTGGAGGCACCAATACCTCAAAAATTACTTCTGCTGTTTCAGAGATTTAACTTGAATCTTAAAGAACAAAATGTTCCAATTTTCCAGAGATAAGAAAAACACTAGAATATTACTTAGTGTAATATATGCATCATTACACTGGCCTGGATTTTGTCTAATATAACACTTCTTACTGTGCAATGGACTTATAAACCGTATTAAAATACTGGTGCTAGTTACATTGATGTTCTTCTTCCTCTTCTTTTTGTTTCTCAGAAACAGCTTTAGTGAGGTATAATTGCATGTAATAAATGAAACATTTTGGGGCCAGCCCAGTAGAACAGTGGTTACCATTGCGGTGGCCCAGAGTTCACTGGTTCGGATCTTAGATGTGGGCCTGTGCACTGCTTGTTAAGCCATGCGGTGGACAAATATGAAATACTTGAACAAATATGAAATATAGAAAACTAATAGCAAGATGGTTGATTAAACCAGCCATATTAATAAATATTGTAAATGTAAATGGTATAAACTCTCCAATTAAAAGGCAGCAAACAAAACAGTGGATAAAATCTAAACATAGCTAAATACTTTGAACAAAAATTTCATTTAATTATAATGACAGAGAGGAGTTAAAATAAAAGGATGGGGAAAGATATACTATGTAAACACTAATCTTAAGAAAGCTGGAATTGCTATGTTAATATTAACAAAGTAAATTTTATGAAAAGGGATATTACCAGAGACAGGGGCATTTCATAATGTTAAAGTGTCAATTTATCAAGATAAAAATCCTAGATAGGGGCTGGCCGGTGGTGCATCAGTTAAGTTCACACCTTCCACTTTGGCGGCCTGGGTTCAGCAGTTTGAGTGTACACCTACGCATTACTTGTCAAGCCATGCTGTGGTAGGCGTCCCACATATAAAGTAGAGGAAGATGGACACAGATGTTAGCTCAGGGCCAGTCTTCCTCAGCAAAAAGAGGAGGATTGGTGGCAGGTGTTGGCTAAGGGCTAATCTTCCTCCAAAAAAAAATCCTAGAGATAAATATACCTGATAATATTCGTTTTGAAATACATGAAGCAAATGTTGACAACTAAGTGAAAGCAGAAGTAGACAAATGAACAACTACAGTGAAGATTCAACATTCCTATCTTGGAAATTATATAAAAATAATCCCAAAATTAGTAGGGATAAAAAATGCTTGAACAACACTGTAAACCAGCATGACTTGGTTGATATAAGTGAAGCACCCATTCAACAAGAGCAGAACATAGTCTTTTCAAGCACATATGGAACGTTTACCAAGATAGATCATATTCTGGGCCACAGAACAAGTCTAAACATGTCTAAATGATTGAAATAATACATTTTATTTCTATACACGGCCAATGAACAATTAAAAAATGAAGTTAAGAAAACAATTCCATTTGCAATAGCATCCCAAAGCATGAAATATTTTGGAATGAGTTTAACAAAATATATACACTGAAGGCATATATACTGAAAACTAGAAAATATTTCTTGATTGTTGATGTGATTACATAGTTGTATACCTTTGGCCAAATCCATTTAAGCATATACTTAAAATTGATGCATTTTATTTAAGTAAGTTATACTTCAATGAAGTCAATTTAGATGAAGTAACAGGGACACTTTTTAAAACTTATTTTTATAAATAATGCAGTGATTTTCTTCACTAATTCTCTGGCGTAAAAAATTCTAAGATTTTAAAATTTTGGTTCTCTAGGGCTGAGGGCAATAAATGATGCAGGATTCTTATGGCCAAGTTAATTTTTAATTTTTTAAAATGTTTTTAATATTTTCAATGTTTTTAAATGTATAATGTCATGCTTGTATTTGAGAGAGAGAGATTGCAGTATGAAATCAAACAAATAATAACAGACTGTTGTAGCTTCCAAGGGGGTGGGTGTATAGGGGATTAGCCTGTGCAATGTCTTAAAGAGCTGGTGTATGTATATACCAAAAACCTAGCAACGTGTCCTTTGTCCTTCTAATTTTACATGGCAAAAGCTGTGTCGGGATCTGCCTGCTGTAAGTTGCTGATTTGCTCTTTCATTTCTGTTATATGCTCCTCTATGCCTACTTCTCTTTTCAGGATGCAGGCTGAGGTTTGTTCGTAAGCTCTGGCCCTTAGCAAGCGAGCTGAGTCAGGTATCAACCAAGCATTATTTTGGTGCTTATATCTACTATTCTCACCTCCTTTCATTCAATATCTTCTGCAAACTCTTTCTGAACATACTGTTAGGTTACAGGAACTGTAGTTTGTAATAAAGATTTAGAAAAGAATATTGCTGCACATTAGATCACAATTTTGTAGGAAGGCCAACACAAACTAATAACGTCCATATAGTCTGCTCTAATTCAGCATTAGGAGTGCTCCTGTTTCAGTGTCTTCTTACTCTCTTCTGAATGTCTTTTGATAACATCCACTGCCTGGATTCTTTCTGGTTCTTTCTGACCCATTGTCCTCTGACTTTTGATCCAGGTTGGTTTCTGCACCTGATTGCTAAGTTATATTCTTATTTTAAGTACTTCCTTGGAATCCCTGCCTGAATTTGGCTTACTGTCTTTGGCAGTCCTTTGATTATCCTGGTTTAACCCATTTCTTCTAGTTTTGGTTTAAAACTGATTGTAATTCACAGCTCCCTATGTGTTAAAACTGAAGGCTAAGTTATTTCACTTTATCCAATTTTTAAAAAAACATTCTGTTTAGGCATGTCAATGAATTGAATATTATAATAACCTATAGAGAACATTCATTTTAATTCTGGGGGTTTCTTTCTTGGCAAACATTTTACACACTGTGTATTTCATGAAAATGCTATGTGTTCTGTTCTAAAAACTGCTCAGCCTGACTACTGAACACAGTTTAAAAGCCGTCAGGAGGATTGTGGACTGATAGTGGATGATTGGTTGTTAAGGCCTTATTGATTTTACAAGTTGAAGAATGACTGACCCTTTATTTTTTTCTCATAAGGAATCCTATATTCTGTTTTTCTGGACACAATCTGTACAATAGAAGGCAATAAAATGGGAGTGTCTCGCATAATTAACACTACCAGGAGCTTTAAGAAGTCTTTGGGGAATTGTACTTTATGGAAGCTTCAGAATAGTGTTCAGACTGGTTGTCTAGACAGAAGGAAATGAAAATCTGGCAGCCCCAGCTGTGTAGTAGACTGGTTATGCATATTGAGTTATGGTGTAGTCATGAGCTGCTTAATGTCACATGGAAAGCTAAGATAAATTTAGCTTGTATCACATTTGCCGTGGTGACTCACACCGCTGAAATCAGGACCCAGAGCTTCTGACTTTATCTAATACTCAGAAGATTGCAGTGTGCCCACATCTCTATATAGCATTGAATAACTTTGTTCAGAAGTTTTACTGTCATAAGGTTTAAGTAATCAAATATGCTTAAAAAATTTTCAAGCGTGAAAAGTCAATTTTTTCCTCTTCTTTTTACAAATGTAATTGAGATTAATTATTTGAATATGTGTGACATATTTTTGATTTGGGTTATAGCAAATAATGACTTATTATGTCTTCGTTTTGTGGAGCAACTGATACTAAAAGTCAGTGACGGAGTTACTCAACGTTGTAGAGATATGTGAATATACAAGATAAGTTCTTACTGGATGTCAAAGAAATTCTTATAAAACCATGTTTGTACCTTGCAGTTTTCTTTTGAGTTGCTGTTTTTGAGGAGGGATTGCTTTTACTTTTTAAATCCAAGGGAGTTTGATGTATATCTAATCTGGGGAGCAAATATTGAAAAATAAAATTTTATCAGTGAATAATCACCATCCTGGGTGGTGGTTTCTGGAGATATAAATATTTTGTAATAGTGTAACAGTCATGTTTTTGTAATAATAGAATTTTAGTTTTATTCACCAGAATATTAACTTCTTTTAGTTTTGTCTATATAACAAATAATCTATGTGTCACTTGTTCCTGGAGTCTATTTTCACTGTCCCCTTAAAAAATATCATATTTAAGATTATGAAATTACTCGATCATTCAGAAAGCAATTTTTAGGTTATTGGTCACAGCAAATGAACTATGCATTTTATATAAATAACTCTTTTCAGCCTATGAAACCATTTGAGCCACATCACTAAATAGATTATTTGCTAATTTGGTATTTTAGCTGCAGGAATCATGGGTTGCTGAATAAGTTTTTAGATTGCCATATAATTGACTTGATTTTCTTTAGATAATTTAAAAATTGAAATCGTCTAGGTAGGGGTTGTCTTAAGATCTGATATTTGATCTTGAAATGACTCCAGAAACTGATTGAGCTAGGGTGATCTGGTCGATTTCATAAAAAGTGGCATTATCTTGGTAAAAATTCGCAAAACTCATTTAGAGATTAAGATATGATGTATAGACATAGTCTTACTAAATAAAAATGGTCCAACAATTATAATAGGCTTAATAATTTAGTTTGCGTGACCATTTATTCTTGGAATATTCCTATGAAATAACTAATATATTTGTTTTTTGCAGATAGAGAAGGTAATATTTTGTGGTGACTTTCACCTTTTTTTTCCTCCTTTGATGTGTTTTGGCTCTAATTCACCCAAAAGAAGGAGGCACTCCAACTGTTAACAGTGTCACTCTCTTGGCAATGATTCTGGAAGGGTTGTAAAAAGGGAAAATGCCTGAAATTATCTATCAGAGTCTATGGTGTGCAATTGAACAAGCTCCCCAAGTAAAGATTTGCATCCTTCTGTCTCAAATTGAATAGCACTGAATTTATTTCAATGTTTAATAGCCTATTGTTCATCACTGACAGGTTTGTCTTCAAACAGGTGCTGTTACTATTTGCCTGTTCTTTCTTTCTTTCTTTCTTTCTTTCTTTCTTTCTTTCTTTC